TCAGTCCCAAAGCAGCAGCTCTTTCCCATTTCTTTACACAGACCCTGTCTTTAACATTGACCCTGATCCTGATGTGGATCCCAGAGACTACTTTGAGGAAAGGAGTCCACTAAGCTCCTTCCAAACACGCTATAAGTTTGCTGACAGTCACATGAGCACATCTTCTGGCCTTCCAAATAAAGTGAGCCCAGCAAGGCAACTAACATACACAGATGTGCCCTATATTCCTTGTACTGGTCAGCAGGTGGATATTATGCCCCCTCAAGTGTTTTTTTACGTGGACAAGCCTCCCCAGGTGCCCAGACGCTCTCCAATCATGGCAGAGGAAAGGGAAAGGCCAGACAGATGTCGAGAGCCGGCTGCCATGAAACCACCCAAAAGAAGTCCAAGGAATATCAGAGTGCACCGATTTCAACAAGGCTACCATGAACTCCAAGGAGCTATGGCCAGGACTAGTGGTAGGAGTAATACCAATGTAACTCAAGAAGAGGAAGACTCTAATTTAGAAGATGTCTTTGCGTACAGCATTCAGGAGCAAACCCCTAAACGGTCTCAGAGTCAGTCAGACATGAAAATGATCCGTTTTCCTTTTGGGTCAGAATTTAGACCTTTGGGACCTTGTCCTGCCCTGAGTCGAAAAGCCGACCTGTTTACATACATGTTTAATGAGCAGGAATTTCCACCAGTTGTTATGGATCGGGGAACAACAGAGAGGTATATAGCTAGTGAATCCAGTGATTCTGAGTCAGAGATTCTTAAAACAGACTATTACCCTTTGTATGGAAAAGGGATAAGGTCACCCAGAACCAGAATCCGTTTGTCTTCTGGTAGTCTACAGCTGGAAGAGGAAGAGGAAGATGTTTCTTTTAATGCACCTGCTGTTGAAGACAGGACTTTGCTAAAACCATATAATTACTTTTTAGCTTAAAACTCTTAATTCAGTGAACATTTCAGGGCCAGTTCCATATTACAACCTTTGGTGGAAAAGAAGCAAATGTTTTAGAGACACCATTTTCTTAGTTACTCCATACTGATATCATTAAGGGACTCTTCAAGGTTTGGGCACCTTGCTCATAAAAAATTTAGCTCCTGTCTCATGCACCCAGTTCAAATCTTCCTTTGAAAGGATTCCAGAACCTGCCCTCTGCTCACCAGAAAAGTGCTGATGTGAGGTGGGCCCTGGCTATGTCCACTATACATTTCTCCATAGAGACATCAACATGAAGGTTCAGTTCTTCAACACTGAAGATGGGGAAGGTATGCTTAGGCACAGAGACCTGTCTTCTGATCTCATTTAGTGATTTAGTACGTTGTGAACAGGCTGATCATTTTAAACAGTGCTATAAGTAAAGGTATTGGTGCTTATTAATTTTGTGGAGGTCCCGTTAAAAAGGCGTCCTGTCCCATATTACAGAAGCCAGTTTTTGTAAGATGTGTTGGGGTGGGGTATGAACCTCAGCAACAAAACAGGTCCTCATGAAAGCACATTCGCTGATGACTCATCTAAGACTTGGCCAAATTCTAAATTGGGAAATACATGAATTCATCTATTTCTAAAACCAGACTATGCCTGATGAGGGCATAAAAATGTTGGACCTAACCTCTCTTCTTAACTGTTACCTGTAGTGAAAGCTCAAAATTAATGTGTTGGTTTGTTTAATCTAATATCTCCTGTAAGGTATTGTCATAACTGGTTGCATGTAATTAAGTGAGAAATGAAATGAATGGCATTTTAATATTAATAAAGAGTGATGGAAATCAGTTTATTAAACAAAATAAGTGGTGTGTATAATCTTCCTTTTGTTTCAATTGCAGACATGGCTGTCTTTAGCCTATTAAAGGAGGAGCCAGAAAAAAATTGGAGGTGGTGCAAATGCATAGTGAGGCATGGAGGAAAGAAATAAATGGTAATATTGGGCTAGCTGAGAAGAAAAGGAATAGTACTGAAACCAAACTGAGTTAATGCACCAAAATTATGGTGTTTTTTTTTCGGGGTTGGTAGACTCCCAAGTGGTGTTCAGGAGGTCCGGGAGTCCCACCCGTGATTCTGAGGGCCTGAGGATGTGATGCTGCTCAGACCCTGGGTGCCAGTAACATCATGGTCACATCAGGGATGCTGGGAACCCCCAGGGCCTCACTTATTGGTGCCTTTGGGGGCCGTAAGGGCTGTACTTGGGAACTGTGTGGTGCTGGGAATCAAACCCAGGTTAAGCTCATGGTAGCCACATGCCCTAACTGCTATACTATCTCTCAGCCCAAATATTCTATTCTTTTTTTTTAGAATTAAAGCTTTTTAATTCTCTTTATTACATAGCAAACTACTGTACACATAGTAGAAAGCCAAAAATACATTCCACTGAAGAAATATTTTCACATCATATATTCAACAAGAAGTTAGGATATTCTTGACCCTTTCTGATCTTCTTTTCTATTCCTCCTGAAGAGTATAATTTTCCATTTGAGTACTTTGTTGATAGATTTTTAGGAGTAGACATAACCATTTTTTTACTTTAATTTTTTGGTTGTGGGGCCACACCTAGTATTGCTCAGGGCTTACACTTGGCTCTGAGCCCAGAGATCATTTCGGGGGAAGGTTTTATTATTTAAAATTTTTCTTTTGAATCACAGTGAGACACAGTTACAAATTTGTTCATGATTGGGTTTCAGTCATACAATGTTTCATCACCTGTCCCTTCACCAATGTACATTTCCCACCACACCAATGTTATCAGTTCCCTCCAGTCCTCCTCCCCCAGCCTGTTATCTCTATGGCAGGCACTTTTTTTCACTCTCTTTTTCTGTCTCTCTCCTTTTGGGCATTATGGTTTGCAATACAGATACTGAAAAGGATCGTTTTTGCCAGTGCTCGGGACCATAAGTGGTGCAGGGGATTGAACCCAAGTTGGCTGCAAGCAAGGCAAATGTCCTATCTGCTGTCCTATCACTATCCCCTAGAAGAGTTTTACACCTATGATTCAGTATTCTCCCTTACTCCATATATTGTGAAAGTCCTTTATAACATGCTTTGCTTCACCCCTTTGCCTCATTCTAATACATTTCTTGCTGCTCCTATACACATAACCAGTAGCACACTAGTTTAGAATAGTTACTTAATAAGAACATGTTTAAGCTCAGTCACCTCTACAGTAATCCTACAGATCAACATTTTCCAAGTGAGCAACACTGCCTCCTCTCCCCTATGGAAGAGGCACTCAAACAATGTGTGTGGGGTGCTGTCACAGACTCAGCGCAATTTGTGGGTGCTTCTGTTTGTTAGCTGAAAGAAGCTGGATTGTCAGGGAGGAAACCTAGGAGGGGACAATAAGCCACGTACATTAGGGACTCTCTGCTAAAAGTTCTGAAAGGTAAATTAAGTGCATCTTTTTTTCTAGGAAAATCTCGAATCCTTTTTGCTGTTTGTAACTTCTCACCTCGATTTCTGAAAGTCTTGGTGAAATCTGCTTTCCCCAGAGAACTACGAGGTGGAAATGTGCATAATATTTCCTCAAAAACGACATTTAACTAACACAATTCATTTTCCAACCTAGAACTTTTGTATGTGAAAAGAGACTCACTTTATTTTGACAGGAGGCAAAAACTGGACAGACATTCATTACAGCTCTAATTACTATTGTTTTTGTTTGGGGAGAGAGGTTGGTCCTAAGTAGTAACCAGGAAGCGAGGAGTCGTCCATGGTGATACTTGGCCTGGCTGCTTTAACCCAGACTGATCAGTGCTTAGGGCAGGTAAACTGGTACTGCTTGGGCCCTGTGATGCTAAGGGTTACCAAGGCTATACCTGGCTGTGATTGGGAGATCAGCTGTACCAGGGACTAAATCCAGGGCCTCTAGGTGGAAAACATACAGTCCAGTTCTTTAAGCAATCTCCCTGACTCCATAATCATCTTTTTTCCCCATAATCATCTTTAAGTGTAACAGTTACCATTTCAATTTTATTTCTTTTTAATATTTTTATTTCTCTTCTTATTTTGCCCCAAATTTTATTTTATGAAATCATTGTGATTTACAAAGTTATTCATAGTTGAGTCTTAGACAATGTTCTACCACAGATCTTGCCACGAGTTTCATCTCCCGTAAACCAGTGTTTCCAGATTCTCTCTCGACCCCCACCCCCAGCCTGTCATCTCAACAGGCACCTTTTAAAATTTGTTTGTTTGTTTCTCATGACTTCAGTATTGTTGACTCTGTGGTTTGAATAGGTAGCTCTATCATTCCTTAACACCACCTTTGTACCTTGCCCCTTGCCCCGTGTTGCTTCTCTTCTCCCCACCCTTCACTCATTATCTTTCCTTCTCTTCTCTACACTTAGGGACCAAGTGTGATCTAGGTATCTCTCGTTAAGTCACTGCATTTCCTCATTCAGTTACTCTAAATACCACTTATAAGTTATATTACCTTGTGTTTATCCTTTTTTCTGGCTTACTTCATTTAACATGATATCTTCCAGTTCCATCTATGTTGCAGCAAACTGCACGATTTCTTCATTCCTCACTGCTGCATAGTATTCCATTTCCATTTGTGTACATGTACACCACATCTTCATGACCTACTGATTTGTTGTTTCGTATTTAGGTTGGTTCCAGTCTTAGCTATTATACTGAGTGCTACAATGAATAATGGTGTCCATGTCCTTTTGAATGAATATTTTTCTGTCCTGGGGGTAAATGCATGAAAGAAGAATTGCTGGGTGGTATGTCAGCTCAATTTTAAGGTTACCGAGAACCCTACATACTGTTTTCCATAGGGGCTGAATCAGAAAACACTCCCATGAGCAGTAGATGAGAGTTCTTTTTCCACCACACTCCCACCAACATGGATTGTTCCGATTATTTTGATTATGTGCCATTCTCACTGGTGTAAGATGAATATCTCATTCTGGTGTTAAAGTCCCAAGTATGAAGGAGAAGTAAAATGAGAAAGAAATTAAGACAATAAGATACCACAGTAAGTTTCTTCCCACTCAAGAAAACAAACATTAAGGACCACGAAGTTTAAATATTTATTTTTCACTCCCCTCAACAAACACTAGAGTATACTTTGTCTAGAAACTGTTTACAAGACTAATAACAACAAATGAGTAATACAATTCCTATTTGTGGTATAGTTGTGTTGTAGAGGCTTAAATATTCAATTTATAAATTTGTTGCTTTTACTTTTACAAAAATATTCATTTCATTCATGAAATGTGCTGCAAAATTACTTTCAGATCTCTACCAATTAATTATAAACTGATTTGGGTTTTAATCACATTGCAGGTAAAAATTTTAACTGAACAATTATTTCTAAGCACAATGTGTTAATATTGTTATGGTCTAGGCACCAATTACAACAACATTTCTGGCATATGGCACAACTTATTCACGGGCGTTTCACATTACAAAAGAATAAGATAATGGTCATTTTGGTTAAAAATGGCTTGAAGAACATCTTTCTTCTAATATTTGGCAATTACTGATATTTTTTAAAATGACTTTTGTGCAAAGACAAAACTGCAGATCCCAACAACAAAATATTAACTATTAAAACTAATATCAATAATTCTACAACTACTGAAATAGAGACCCAGTTCAGAACTTAGGCAGGCATAATATTATATACCGAGTTTAAGAGAAAAAAGGTATTACTCATGTAACAGTACCATAAATATAATTGAAAACCAATTGTACAGACTAACTCACCATTCTACAGACAGAAGTCATCCTGTACTATGGTTATTTTCACATGAACTACACAATGTTCACTTAAATACAGTTTCAAAAATGAACAACTGATGCTTAAGTACTAATAATTAGGAAAAATGAAGTCCATAAATAGTTTACAGGACATTTCACTACCATGACAAACATATGCTCTTGTTACTTATATTAATACTCACTGATCAGGTATGTAATCACATGATCATCAGTGTTTTAGGCTTCCCAAATCCAAGCATATGATACACAATTTGAATTGAAGATTTTAAAAATGAAGCCTGATATAATTCTTGAAGTAGTACCAAAAATCCATCCTTGGATAAATGGTATTTAAAATAAAATTCCAACCATGTTAGAAAACCAGTTAATTGTCTCTTCTGAAGAGAAGAGTTACCTTTGTTATTACATTTTACTTACAAATGCTTCAAACACAGGGCTCTCAAATGTGATCATCATTGAGATGCCAAGAATATCTTACCAAGCGGTAAAAGAGTCAACACGTTTCCAGGTTTCATTTCCAAAAGCTCATAAAAATCTATTGCAAGAAGGTACGACCTGTTTCTATCTTCCCACCAATAGTCATTTTAAAAATATGCTTGTGATAAAACCAAAAAATAGCACTCTAACGCGTAATGATTTATGAAAGGTAAAAAATTTGGGATGACTTTGAAAGGCCTAGAAGCTTTATGAGTGTGCAAATGAGGAAAGATCAAAACAAAAAGTACTCATCCTATTAAGTAATAATGATACTTAAAAACAAAAAAGTATCTCAATATTTTCTAGAATACAGGCGAAACTATAGTATTAAAAGACAGTTCTTACAAAACAATCTCTTGAAAATATAAAATGAAAACACTTAGCAAAATAGTTGAGTAGCTTTGTTCAAAACATCAATGTTGCAAAGAGCTAAAGGCACATGGAATTTATGAATTAAGCATTGTTAAGCTTGAAGTAGCTTTGGTGGGTTTCTCTGGATCCATACCAAACAGAAGCCACTAATAAAACCTTCTTAGGAGGATTCATCTGCTGAACACCTATAAAATTAAGAAATATTTAAACTTGATAAAGCTCTACATGTTTTTATTTCTAATCTAAATGAACTCTGTATTAAACTGGGAAAACTGAACTACTTCATCATAAAAATGATAAAATGTAAGTTCAGAAATACTTTCTGCATCCGATTCTAAAACTTTCAATTGACTTTTATCCACAATAGAAAAGAGAGGGTGAGTTTTTCATTCAAATCTAAGGGACTTATGAAATCTTTGTTTATTAGTATAAGTAGGCTATATCTGATAGAAAGATCTCTAAGTGTATGTTTTTATGATTCCATAGTCGCTCCAACTCCATTGCATACAAAGAAATATAAAGATTCATCACTTCAAAGAGGGAATAGTACTAAGATATAATTAGTATTACCTTAAAACTTGCTTGGGATAAGGAGTTGTGTGGTATGTGTGTATATACATTCTCAAACTTTTATTTAAAAACAAAATTATTAAAACAAATGTATGCATTTCAACAACTGTGAACAAAGATATAAACCTTCATTTAAAGAGAGAGCCCCCTCTCGGAGAGCCTGGCAAGCTACCGAGAGTATTCAATATGCCAGACACAGTAACAACAAAGTCTCCAATGGAGACGTTACTGGGCCCGCTCGAGCAAATCGATGATCAACGGGAGGGCCTTTACTTTACTTTACTTAAAGAGAGAGTATAGAAATGCCCTGCCACAGAGGTAGGGTGGGATGGGGGGGATGGGGAGTGGGAGGGATACTGGGATCAGTGGTGGTGGAGAATGGGCACTGGTGGAGGGATGGGTATTTGATCATTGTATAACTGAAACCCAAGCACAAAAATTTGTAAGTCTAAAACTGTACCTCATGGTGTTTCACTAATAAAAATTTAAGGAATAAAGAGAGAGTATAGACACTAAAGCCAAACACTTGGGCCATTTATAGTTTCTATTGAGTTCTGCTAATTGTAACTCTTCCCTTAACTTTTCTAATGGGGCTTAAACTTAGGAGGTTTACACTGGAAACTGTGAATAGTGGCTGACCATAGTGGCAAGAAAAATGTATTCCTGAAAATAATGATAGGATCAGTAAACTTTTGTCAATACTCCTTATTAGCAGGAAAAGGAAATAAAAAGGTCATTTAATTTAGGGGAAAATACCTTGAAATGCCTGAAAGGAATAGTTTCAAAGCCAATGTTTAAGATGGGCATAAATCAAAACATTTCTTCAAGAAAATGACTATGGAGACATGAGTTCATTAGGAATAATTTAAATGGCTGAATCAAGCTAATTACAGTTGCTTCATAAATATACTTCCAACAAAAAAAGACACACTAATTTTTAAATGACACCACATACTTACTTTTGGAATTTCTCAATTAATTTCTTCACCATTTTGTCAGTGATGCCAGGACAGGCAGCTTCAGCCACAGCAATGCTTTTCTCGAGTTCTTCAATCGCCTGATTCCGGCTAGCATTATTCTCATCCTGCTGTTTAAGCTGAGAGAGATCAATAGCTATAGCATTGAAGATTATTATGTCCTTTAGAATAGCTACCCAAAGCTAATGAATATGCACTTACTTCTGCAAATGCAGGTGTGATTATCATGGACAAGCAGCTCAGGGTTTGCACAAGATCTTGCTCCTTTAAGAAAATAATATAGATTATACACATGAAATGAGCATAATCATGTTTGCTTAGCTCTTTGATAACAAACGGGTACTACTTTGAATCCTTACCAAGAAAGACAAAATATAAGGCACTTTCCCATTCTTTCTTGCCATCATTAATTCCCATTCATCACTCAGAGGGCCTTTACCTTGTAGGATTCCATAAATATACATGATTCCACTGGGTTTATGTATCACTAGGTAAACAAACTTAAAATGTAATCAACTTCTTCTTTTCTGGCATACATGATGCTTTCTTAATAAGCTCAAAATGAATAGGAAATAATGCATGCAATGGATGCAGGGAGGTATACAGGCATTTAGAAATAGCAAATTCTAACAATTCCTGGTCATCCTAATACTAGTATAAAGTAAAGTAAAGTAAAGGCCCTCCCGCTGATCATCGATTTGCTCGAGTGGGCCCAGTAACGTCTCCATTGGAGATTTTGTTGTTACTGTGTTTGGCATATCGAATGCGTCACGGGGAGCTGGCCAGGCTCTGCCGTGCGGGCGAGATACTCTCGGTAGTGTGCCGGGCTCTCCGAGAGGGGCAGAGGAATGGAACTCGGGTTGGCCATGTTGGCTGCGTGCAAGGCAAACGCCCTACCCGCTGTGCTATCGCTTCAGTATATTAATACTAGTATATAATCTGAAAAAGTCTATCAGGAAAAAGTGCTCGCCCCCATGTACATACCGCCCCATTCTGTAGTTTCTTTGGATCAGGCTTCTTCCTCACAGTCGTAAAGCTCCATTCAGGATGAGTATTATTCTCCCTGCTGGTGGATTCCCTAAAGAGACAGTCAAAGGCACTTTTATAAGTTCCTAAATTATTCAGCTTGGTGAAAGTACCAATTTAATGCAGTCAGCACACTGAAGAGACTTGTCCCAATGTGAAAAAAAATCACACTATGAAAAAGCATTTGATCTTAGTGTCAGATAGATAAGACAGTTTGCTAAAGAATTGCAGTTGTTCTCAACCCTTAAGCAAGCCTCAGGATAACATGTGGAGACCTCTTACCACACAGAAAATCCTGCCTCCATCCCTCCTCACTGACTGGATCAGGATCTCCTCTAGAGTGACATGTGGCTTTTTTAAGGTACTTTGAATGACTCTGATGGTCAATCAGGACCAACAACCATTAGAATGAGGGAACAAAATCTACCCTGATCTATTTTTATCCCTTTCAAAGACTGAGCATTTTCTCATAAATGTAGATGTGTTAGGGTATTATTGAAAGAAAGTTGGTGCTGCTTTTGTCTCAACTCACCCAGTAGAAAACTCAATCCTAGCGTAAGCTAGAAACTATCCTAGTCTAAAATTAAGCTACAGACCTGGAGGCTAAAAAGTTCACATAGAGGGGGCTGGAGCAATAGCACAGTGGGTAGGGTATTTGCCTTGCACATGGCTGACCCAGGTTTGGTTCCAAGCATCCCATATGATCCCCCGAGTACCATCAGGAGTAAATCCTGAATGCATGAGCCAGGAGTAACCCCTCTGCATTGTCGGGTGTGATGCAAAACAAAAAAAAAAGAGTTCACGTATAGTCTGAGCAACAGTACAGCAGATAAGGTGTCCACCATTCATGCAGATGGCCTTGGTTTGATCCCCAGCACCACCTATGGCCCCTCAATCTCCACCAGGAGTGATCACTGAGCACAGAGCCAGGAGAAAGTCCTGAGCACTGCCAAGGATGGCCCCAACCCCTCAAAATAAAATAAAATAAAATATTTGTGTAAATACTCCATTTAGAAGACTACAACTTTTATTGGGGGTACAAATGATATCTAGAAGAATATTTAAAGGTAACAATCTGGTCATGGCACACATTTCTAAATGTTTGGAAAGGCGTGGAGGTTAGTTCTTAAAGGAGATTTTGCAAGTTTTTGAGAAAGTATGAGGACAACCTCCTAACATTTATAGTAAGCTGTGTAACACCATTAATCAAACCTGGTTCCCAAATTTTTGTAATATACTCAAGTATCCACTAGGGGCTAGACCAAGACCATTTAAAACTAGAGCAAGTCACTTTATTAGAACGTGTTTACCAATTCATTGTACTCCACAGACTTGTTATTGTTTTTAATTCCATTGCTAAAGTGAAACCTTAGAATATGGCTTACATATTATGCTAGAGAAATCAGAACCTAGCTATCTACAAGAAAACTAAGTATTTGATACATACGAATCAGAGCCCTCAGAATCGGATTCATCGTCACTGTGTCCTTCTGCCTTCCATCTCTTGGATCGGTCTATCAGTTCAGTCAGATAAGAGGTCTTCTTTGAATATTTTACAATGAATTTGTGTTTCAGAAGTTCCTTAGCTGTAGGACGCTATGGGTTGAAAAGAAAAGTACATGACTATTTCTAGGCTCTTTAGAATTACTTGGGAGTGATAAGGAATCATTGTGAGTTTTAAGCTGAAAGATAGAAAAGAATATAGACATGAGGACCACTGAAAAGCTACAGATCATTGCTAACTATATTTTTGAAGAAGGCCAGAGAAACCAAATTACATTCACTATGCTCAAAAACCGATTTCACAAAGCCCACTGAGCAGAAGCTAGCCAACCTAGCAAGCAGCAAACTGGAAGGCAGAACTTTCTCAATGGCAGAGAAACACAAAGTAGGATTTAGAACATAAAGTGAAATTGGCTTTTTAGTCCATATACTTTAATCACATTTAGTGTAAACTGAAAAAAAAATGAAAGTTGAAGTATTGCTAATAGCTGTGCATATACTGTCAGATTAATCCATTAAGCATCAATTCACACTTTATCCACATACAAGTACCTGGTGTTTTGGAGGATGTTCCCCCCTCCAGCATTTTATTGATTTAGCATATTCATCATCAACTTAAAAAACAGTTGTATCACACAGCAATGGTAGTAACAAAGATCCAAAGGCAACATAATGGAAAAACTGATCCACCCAATTGGGTCGAGTGGGGAGTTATGAAAGGGAGCGTGTTGGGGCCCTTGGGGGACAGAGGTTGGTACACTGATGAGTGTAGTGTCAGAATTATGTGCATGAGAAACCATTATTAGTAATATTGTAAACCATAGATTATCAATTAAAAATAAAAGAAATTCTAAAGTACAAAAATTGTTATGTCAAATTGGGTTCTTATATACATTTAGTCTCTGGAAGTCACAATGAAACTTTATTATTTATTTATCTATTTATTTTGTTTTTTGGGTCACATCCAGGGATGCACAGGGGTTACTCCTGGCTCATGCACTCAGGAATTACTCCTGGCGGTGCTCAGGGGACCATATGGGATGCTGGGATTCGAACCCGGGTCAGCTGTGTGCAAGGCAAATGCCCTACCCACTGTGCTATCGCTCCAGCCCCCAACAACTTTATTTTTAAAATATCAAAATAACTGTAATAAAATGTGGCAAGTTAATAAGTGGGTCTCACTAGTCTTCAGAAAAAGTATATAAATTCAAGTTGGTGTTTCCAAACATTGTACTAAAATACAGTAGAGCACACATAATTCGTGAAAAATAAAATAGCTGAATAAAAGTCATGATGAATACCTTAATAATGACATCCTCTAAAAATGAACTTATTTCTCAAACATCTTTGCCCCAGAAATAGCAAATGATAGGCAGAATAAAGAAGATGGCAAGCACCTGAATAAAAGAAGATGCAGAGGGAAGGGAAATAGGAGCTAAGTATCTTGTGAAGAAAGTTAACAGAATTGGTAATATATAAGGAAGAAGCAACTTCCTGGATGGATCTCAGCTAATCTTCATATACATCATATTCCACATTATTAGGAAAAAATCTGCTTTATATAGATCTGATAACAGAACACAAAGAATAATGATAGAAATATATACTCACAAATGATGGATCTTTGTTCAGGCAAGCATCAACGAACTCCTTGAAGGACTTGCTAAATTCTCCAATAAGAGTTGGAGGGTTATTCTTTGGAATAAGAAACAGAACCCGCATTGGATGCATGTCAGAGTTGGGTGGTTCTCCCTTGGCCAGTTCAATAGCAGTAATTCCCAGGGACCAAATGTCAGCCTGAAATGAAAGAACAAGAATGATTACCTTGACACTGCATTTGTATATACACTGTCACAAAAAACCTGGTGGACCCTAATAGTTATTTGGCCAGGGATATGGCTCAGTTGTACAGCACATATGTCTCACGTTTGAGATCCTGGGTCCAATTCCCACCACATTAAAAAAAACGAAGTGCTTCAAGAAGACTGGAGAGACAATACTGGGGTTGAGGTGCTTCTCTTGCATCCCACAGATTTGGGTTTGAATCCCTGGCACCATATATAGTTCCTCAAGCACCACCAGGGGTTACTCCTGAGCACAGAGCCAGGAATGACCCCTAAGTGTTGTAAGGTGTGGTCCCCAAACCCAAAAGACAAAAGAAGTGCTTCAAGGAATGTGGTGTTGATTCATTTTCATTGATAGTCCATTTTTATTTGCTAGGTATCACATTCCAGGTACCGAGGGTGGAGGTAGTGAATAAATCACATAGAAACTCCATGTTCTTGAGGAATGTGTTCTTGAAAAGCACTGTATCACTGTCCTCCCGTTGTTCATCAATTTGCTCTAGCGGGCACCAGTAGCGTCTCATTGTAAGGCTTGTTACTATTTTTGGCATATCGAATACACCATGGGGAGCTTGTCAGGCTCTACCGTGTGGGTGGTATACTCTCAGTAGCTTGCTGGGCTGTCCGAGAGGGATGGAGGAATTGAACCCGGGTTGGCCATGTGCAAGGTAAACGTGTTACCTGTTGTGCTATCGCTCCAACCCATTCTTAAAAAGACAGGTAAGTAATATGGTGTCACATATTATGAAGTTTTGGGAAGAAAATAAGCAAGCAGGTTAAAGAAATGATGAATGATGGGGTAAAGAGGTTACAAACAGGGGGCTGAGAATGATAGTATAGTGGGTCTTGCATGCAGCTTGACCTGGATTTGATCCCCAGTACCCCATATGGACCCCCAGAGCCCAACTGGACTGATCCCTGAGGGCAGAGCCAGGAATTAGCCCTGAACACAGACAGGTGTGGGCCTGAAACAAAACAAAACAAAAGAGAGGCTACAATGGGGGCTGGAGAGATGGCACAGTGGGTAGGTTAAAACCAGGCATCACATATGGTCTTCCAAGCACTGCCAGGAGTAATCCCTGAGCACAGAGCCAGGAATAGGCACTGAATATCACTGCATGAACCAACAATAACAACAAAAAGAGGCTAAAAGTATACACAGATGGCTAGGGAAGAATACAGAGTATAAGGAAGTTTAAGTAGAGGAGTAACTGGAAGGTTCGTCCAGGCAGAGGGAAGGGCAAGTGCAAACATTCTGAGGCCAGAGTAGTGTAGTTGTTATTTATTTATTTATTTATTTATTTATTTATTTGCTTTTTGGGTCACACCTGGCTATGCACAGGGGTTATTCCTGGCTTTGCACTCAGGAATTACTCCTGGCGGTGCTCAGGGGACCATATGGGATGCTGGGAATTGAACCTGGGTTGGCCGAGTGCAAGGCAAATGCCCTACCCGCTGTGCTATCACTCCAGCCCCCACAGTTGTTATATTTGAGGCTCAGCAATGATTGTGCTGTGACCGAAGAAGACAGAACATGGAAGAGTGAGATTAAAGCTGAGGCTAGAGAGGCAGATGAGGGCTGGACAGCGGAAAACTTCATATGTGACAGTGTGGAAAGTGACTGAAGAAAGCAAGGTCTAAGCTCTACTAGCATTAAGTTATGGCTTAGTGACAACAATTTTATTTTTATTTATTTATTTTTAATTTTTGGGTCACACCCGGTGATGCACAGGGGTTACTCCTGGTTCTGCACTCAGGAATTACTTCTGGTGCTGCTCAGGGGACCATATGGGATGCTGGGAATCGAACCCGGGTCGGCTGCGTGCAAGGCAAACGCCCTACCCACTGTGCTATTGCTCCAGCCCCAGTACCAACAATTTTTAAAGAGGAAATAGAAGAGTGAGGGAGACAACACAGAGGGAGAATGGAAGGAAGAACAGAGAGGAAAACTGAGAGATAAAAAGAGAGAGAGAAGGGAAGAGAGGAGGGAAAGAGGAAGGGAGAGAGAAAGAGGAGGGAGGGTGATAGAAACCCAAAAAGTAAAGGAAAAAATTACACTTCTTCATTTGGGATGCAGGAAACTCTACAATGGAGTATGTACCTAATTTAGTACCAACACTTGACATAACTGGCTTCTGGAAAACTTTCAAAAATGGGGAATTTAGACCATTTGTTAACCTGGAGCCCTGGCATTAAACCCATTCAACTACTATGTCTGTTGCTTGCAGGAACCCCTGGGCCTCCTGAGCACTGTTTGAGAGTCCCATCTTTTTTTTTTCTTTTTGGGTCACACCTGGCAATGCACAGGGGTTACTCCTGGCTCTGCACTTAGGAATCACTCCTGGCGGTGCTCGGGGGACCATATGGGATGCTGGGAATCGAACCCAGGTCAGCAGCGTGCAAGGCAAACGCCCTACCCACTGTGCTATTGCTCTAGCTCCAGAGCCCCATCTTAAACAAACATTTAAAGGATAATGATAAGTAATGATACAAATTCATTGTCCAAAAATAGTGTGCACAGGTAAGACTTTACTTTTGAGTCATAAGCCGACTGCTGAATAACTTCAGGGGCCATCCAGAACGGCGTTCCCACAAAGGTATTTCTTTTAATCTGGGTGTCTGTCAGTTGTCCAGCAACTCCAAAGTCAGCAAGCTTAACATCTCCTTGTTCTGAGAGCAAGACATTGGCAGCTAGGAGAAAAAAAAATGGAAAAAAATACCTCTCATGTTTCTCAGAATACATCTCTTTTTCTCAAGTCCATATTAGACATTTGCATACCTTTTATGTCTCGGTGAATTTTCTTTTCAGAATGCAGATAGTCCAGACCTTTCAAAATTTCCTTTAGCATGGTAGCAATCTGGAACTCATCAAACGGGCCAGCTCGTAGCTTCGAAGAAAAGCACACAATATACACACATAAAAGTCTGGAACAATAAACTTCACATTTGATATTATCTTGGAAATAAGGGAATCACTTTGATATGTGCAGCAGTTTGTTTATTAGATCAATATTTAAACAAACGTAGAGAAAATGTAAAAGGCAGGGAAGCAAGTTAAAAATCAAGTCAAAGGGATGAAACTGTTTCTACATGATGAGATTTCATCTTAAAAGATAATACAAGCACTCCAAATCCTGAAGTTCTTAAATATTTACATGGAAGATATACAAATATGCTTAAATCATGATAGAATTAGCTTTCTTTTTCAAATAGGAAAAAGAGAAATCAGCTACTTACAGTTTGGCATTTTCCATTGAGAAGTTATTAAAAATTTATGCTGAACTGAGTCTAGATCAGACAGCCCATAAGATTTCCACAGTAACCCAATATGATCATATTATATAGGTGAGCTGAAGCACAGTTCTTGAAATTTATGTGATTCAATAATATTACATAAGGCTGCTTGAGAATCAAATGAAAATTTTTGCTGTGAATATAATAATTAAAACTCCTCATACTCTCATTGTAGAAAAATGATCAAATCGCAGAGGTTTCCCATACAAATGTAACACATTTCCCTTTCTTTCCCCATCCCTGTGTGAAAGCCAATAGTTCCAACTGGAATACAAGGAAAGCAATGATTAGGTTTCAGGAGAACTTGTAATGGAATATCTGAAAATCTCTCTTTAAAATAAATGGTTATTTAAAAATTCTGGTACCGCCTCATAAAACACAAACAGTGGACTGTACAATATTATTACAGGAAAGGGTGGGGATCCAAAGTCAGAACTGAGGTAGAGTTCTGTTTGCTGGAAGGAGGAAAGAGGTGGTGAAAATCAAACACTGCCCATTCTGCCTCACACTGGGAGGGATTCACAGCTCTTTGGCACCTTGTGTATTTCATCTTTCATGAATGCCATATTTATTCTGAATAAAGGGCACTTTCATGTAGAAATTTAACGGCTTAAAATAGAACCCATACTTCTGCCTCACCATTGAATATTAACTGTGGTCTGGATACATAGTATACTCCAGGGAGTCCTTACATCAATGGGTGCCTTTCCCAGGGAACATTAGCTATTTACTTTCAGATCTATCAACTTCTACCCCGAGAGTTTCTATTTAAGTAGCAATGATGAAAGTAATTCTAAAAGGCAAAAATTGGGATAATATTTTACTGATTACTGGAAATGAAATTCTGAGAAACTACCAACTAAATAAATAAAAGATGAATATCATGGTAAGATTATTACTATCACTGATCTCATCAAGAAAATGTTGCAAACTCAGAAGGTATACCCTCACTTTCTTAATAGGGTAGGATTCATAAAAAGGTACTAACAATCTTTTATTGAATCACTTTGAGATACACTGTAACTGTGTTGCTAATGATTGGGTTTCAGTCATTCAATGTTCCAGTACCCATTGGTACTACTTTAATTCTTAAAGACTTCTTAAAATATTCTGGTTAAGTCAGTATAACCCTAATATGCATTTTTTACTTAAAGAAAAACAAATGTTTATAACTCTATAGGTCTATTCATAGTCTCTCCCCAAAATTTAACTATTCACTGTTAGTGAATTTTACATATGTAGGATTAATCTATTTAATGTAAATCTTAAACTGTATTGGAATAGAATTATTCATATTAATTTTTAGTATTTATTACCTATACAATACTTAATTTTTTTTACTTTATCAGTTTATCATTGCTTTACAATTCTGTGGAATCCAGGTATATCAGCTCCATTCACCAATGTCTGTAGGTGTCACCTTATCCAAAAAAAAGATAGAACCAACCCAAATAAGAGCTTAATATATATATATATATATATATATATATATATATATATGCTGTAGCGATAGCGATAGCACAGCGGTAGGGCATTTGTCTTGCAAGCAGCTGGCCCGGCTGAGCCAGGTTCGATTCCTCCGCCCCTCTTGGAGAGCCCGGCAAGCTACCAAGAGTATCTCACCTGCAAGGCAAAGCCTGGCAAGCTACATGTGATATATTCAATATGCCAAACACAGTAACAAGTCTCAAATGGAGACGTTACTGGGCCCGCTCGAACAAATTGATGAACAACGGGAGGAGAGTGTTTGTTTTTTGTTTATATATGTATATGTATATACAGTAAGGGAACAATAAGTGGTCAAAATTATCAGAAGTGAAGATTTTGTCTACAGAACCTAGTTCAGGGGCTGGTGCAACAGTACAGTGGTTAGGCACATGCTTTGCATGCTTCTGACCTGGGTTTAATTCCTAGCATCCCATATGGTCCCCTAAGCTGCACTTGGGAGTGATCCCTAAGCACAGAGTCAGAAGTAAGCCCTGAACACTGCTGAGTGTACTCAGCAGTAAAGCCAAAAACAAGCAAAAAAGAAATATGGCCTGATGAAACTGAGTTTACATGGGAACAGTGTGGTCCTTAGGACACTGGTGGAGCAAAGAGAGCTTTTTGGTGGTAGGTGTGGTAGTAGAATGATGTATCCATGAAAATTATGATTAACAGTATTGTAATTTCCAGTACCTGAATGAAAATGGTAAAAAAATGTAAAGGTGCCTTAAGGATTCATTACCTTTCATGGTATTATTATGCTTAAGTTTCAAATGCAGTAAAAGTAAAATATCAGTTGACATGGATGCTAGACACAGGAGGGGGAGGAAGAGATTTCATGACAGGAGAAAAGGGATGATGGTATAGTTGGTATATGCTGGGTGACTGTTAGAAAACTATCCAAAATCCTTTTTTTTTTGCTTTTTGGGTCACACCCGGCAATGTATAGGGGTTACTCCTGGCTCATGCACTAAGGAATTACTCCTGGCGATACTGGGGGACCATATGGGATGCTGGGAATCAAAATGCCCTACCCCACTGTGTTTTTGTTCCAGGCCTCCTACCTCCCAAATTTTGTGGTTAAAAATGTTTCTTTAGATGTGCTGATAATGTTGAGAAAAGAAGCTGGAGGAAGGAGTTCGAAAGACTCCTAAAGTAGGTGAAAGTGATTTTTATTGGTACATTTTTTTCTTTGGAGGCATAACTGCCTATGCTCGGAGTGTACTCCTAGCTCTGCAATCAGAGGTCACACCTGGTGGAGTTTGGGTAACCAGATGAGGTCCCAGAGATTGAACCCTCTTCATAATGTAAAGTAGTACACTGAAAGTGATTGTATTTCCAATGCAATATGCCCCTACCCCTGTTTGGGGGCCACAACTGGTGGTGCTTTAGGGGTGACTCCTGCTCTGTGTCCAAGGTAATTGGCAATAGAGATTGCTAATACAAGAGCACAGCATTTGGTCTTTCAAAAATTGTATGCTTGTGAACTTGGAGTTTTTTCCCCATACACTCCTTTGACTGATAGCTGCATCTTTTTTTTTTATTAGTGAAACACCATGAGGTACAGTTGTAGACTTACAAATTTTTGTGCTTGGGTTTCGATTGTACAATGATCAAATACCAATCCCTCCACCAGTGCCCATTTTCCACCACTATGAATCCCAGTATCCCTCCCACCCCCATCCCCCCATCCCACCCTGCCTCTGTGGCAGGGCATTCCCTTTTGTTCTCTCTCTCCTTTTGGGTGTTGTGGTCTGCAAAAGAGGCATTGAGTGGCAATCATGTTCGGTCCATAGTCTACTTTCAACATGCATCTCCCATCATGGGAGGATCCTCCAAACACCCTTTATTTGATGCTCCCTTCTCTATCTGAGCTGCCCTTTCCCCTAGAATGCCCGGCTGGCCTCTAAGCCATGGAGTAATCCTCCTGGTACTGATCTCGGCTATTCTTGGGTATTAATCTCCTATTTTGTTACTTTATGTTCCCCAGATGAATGCAATCTTTTTATGTCTATCCCTCTCTTTCTGACTCATTTCGCTTAGCATGATACTTTCCATGTGGTACCACCTGTATGTAAATTTCATGACTTCATCTTTTCTAACAGCTACATAGTACTCCATTGTGTAGATGTACCAAAGTTTCTTTAACCAGTCATCTGTTCTCGGGCACTCAGGTTTTTTCCATATTCTAGCTATTAAAAACAGTGATAGCTGCATCTTATGCTAAGCCTTCTTTTACAGGTAGTACACTGATTTTGACTTTTTAATTGATGCTCATGTTTCATTCTATTTACAACGTTATATGAGTTTTTGTTGTATCCCACAGCAATTTCTTTAGGAGAGACGGCATAAAAATTTAAATAATGTGCAGTACGCTCAAAGTTTTCACATGTGAATTCTTTCAAGAAACTGAGGGAGGGGCTAAAGCTACAGTATAGTAAGTAAGGAGCTTGCCTAGAATACCGCCAACATGAGTTTGATTCTCAGCACCCCATATGGTTCCCCCAAGCCCACCAGGAGTGATCCCTGAGTGCAGAGACAGGAGTAAGACCTGAGTATCCCCAAACCAAAAACAAAACAAAAAAGAATATGAGAGAATCTTCAAGAATAGAAGAGAATCTTGGAGGAACACTCTATAATGTTGACACAAATTGTAAATCATAATCATAGTCTATAACTGGGACACTACTATGTTCTGCTTTGTTTTTAAATAATATTTAACCAGAGCTGGTGGCTGCTCCTGGCTTTGTACTCAGGGTTGCTTGTGCTTGAAGGACCATGTGGTGGTGGGAATTGAACCCAGGATCCCATACGTGCAAGGCAATTAATCTTCCACTGAGCCACAGTCCCAGCCAAGGATACTACTTTAAAGTGTTCAATTCACTCTGCTCAGTATTCCTCTTGCTTTCTCTCATTTTGTTTTCTGGTCACAATTGTCATCCTGTAAGCTTAATTCTTTCATCAATCTACCAAATGATACCATTCATTTGTAAGGACTACACCTGGAGAAGAAATAGTACTATTTCCCTATCAATTGGTTTCTTGAAAAAGTCCAGTGAAATGAAGTTCATAATTAAATCACAATATTATTGAATTTTCTAGCTAGAAAAGAAAAACTAGACAGATTATGACTCCAATTGATTTAATTAACATTTAAGGAAATTAAGTCACAGAATTAAAATGGTTTGACAAATATCAGCTGGTCAACCCAGGCAACAATTTAGGTGACTTTTTTTTAGATTCTAGATTTTGTTTTATTTGAATTTTGGGGACACATCTAGCAATGCTTGGTAAATACTCCAGGTAGTGCTGGGGGGACCATCCAGTGCCAGAGATGAAACTAGGGTCAGTGGCACACAAGGCAAGTGCCTAACTCCTATACAATCATTTCAGCCCAGACCTTTTGGTTTTTTAGCCAGTAGTGCTTATAACATTTTAAGCTTATTGACTTTATATTCTTTGTATTTGTTCTCTTGGAGAAGACAACAGCAGTAGGAGGTAAGATCTTGCAATTGTTTTATTCAGAGATTTTACAACACTGACCAAACCACTGCTGAGGGATATTGGTTGCATTAATTAGGATTAGACTGCTGTTCGATGCTTGTTTAACATTTCTATCAGTGAAAGGAGTGGAGTAGCTTTGTCAATTACTACAAAACAGGGAAGAGCCATAGTCAGCACCTTAGGGGACCAAATATGGTAACTATGATTACCATTTACTATGATTACCATTCCATTTGCAAAAGACTCCAAATATTTAAAAAGTAGAGGGAGGATCATGGAGCAATTTTGAGGTTTCTTGTGGCACTAATGAATAAACTATTGTATAATAAAACTGTGACAAGACAAAAAGAAATGAGATCATTTAACTTCAAGTAGGGAATGGGATAAGACTTGGTATTGATGAAGGATTATTATATAAAGAAACACCAGTTGTGGTCTCTCACTAGAGAGGAAAGACAAAAAAAATGAACTCAAGATTTAGGGTAGAATTAGATTAGACACAAGAAAGGATTATCTAACTCAGCAACAGATTAAAATGAGATGAATTTTAGAAGGAGATAAAGCTCTCCTTCATGTTTAATTACCAATTCTTAAGAATGGTCTGGCTCTCTCTAAAAGAAAAAAATCAACAGCAGTCATTTCTGTTCATAGAACTGTTGGAAATTTGTGAGTAATTGTCAGTGAGGATGAAATATTTTAAAAATATTTAATCACGTTTCAGTTAGGAAAACTTTGCTCCACTTAAAAGAAAAAGAATCAAAACATTACTGGATGATCTTAGTCATAAAATGTCTTATTTTTAGAAATTGCAAACTAAAATTTCGAAGGCAGAAACATACTGATAAAAGATAAGTCATATAACATTAAAGGTGTAGCACTGTGGCACTGTCCTCCCATTGTTCATTGATTTATTCGAGCGGGCCCAGTAACATCTCTGTTTGTGAGACTTGTTGTTACTGTGTTTGACATAACAAATACGTCATGAGTAGCTTGCTAGGCTTTGCCGTGCAGGCGGGATACTCTCGGTAGCTTGCCGGGCTCTCCAAGAGGGGCAGAGGAATCAAATCTGGGTCGCCCCGGGTCAGCTGCGTGCAAGGCAAACGCTCTACTACCTCAATCTTTCAAAGGCCAGGCCAGAGGGGATTATTAGAAAATGTTACCTCTAGTATTCATATTTAATTTTTTGTTTGTTTGGGGTCCACACCTGGAACTGCTCAAAGCTTACTCCTGGCTCAGCCCTCAGGTGTTGGGAACCATATGCAGTGCAGAAGATAAAATTGGGGTCAGCCATGCACAAGGCAATCCCCTTAACTCCTGTACAATCTCTGGACCCATTAATCTAAATGGAATTTCATATTAATAAAAACTTTAAGGTGAAAACTCTAATATTGACAGACTCACCTAAAGTGAGATACAACAACCAGTGTTTCTCAAAAGCATTTTATACAGGAGAACTTCTTAGTTGGATGAAACTTTTCCTGTGTACTATCAGATTTTAGTTTCCTGATCCTGACTCACAGAAATGGCTGTAAATGTTAACAAATCATTGAAACAATCAAAGATGTCATGACATTCTCAACTGACCTATAAAGGGTACGAAGAGTACTAAGAACTGGGTTAATAGGTCTAGTTAGTCAGAATTCAAACATCAATTTCAATGACAGTTATCTGAACTTTTTTTCCCTTTATGTTAGGGATAAGCATGAAAAGTGAAAACACTAATTGACAGTAATTGTCACACACCCATTCTTAACCTGGGAGGAATCATTTTATTAAACGATTTGCATTTCTTATCTACCCTAATAATCTCAATTACATTCTCAATCCTAGAATACACTTAAATCTACATAATGGTAGTGATCTTGAAGAGAGATTAATTTGACCATATTGACTAACACAAACATTGACTTGTCCCCAAATCCACTGTTTACTCCAATTAAAAGATGAAGTAAAACTATACTACTGTGTGTGTATATGTGTGTGTCTCTGTGTGTATGTACATGAGTAAATATCTTAAAATACTTACAAGATCCAGTGCTGAACCACCACCCAGGTATTCCATTATTATCCATAATTTGGAACCCTAAAAAAGCCACAAAACAATATTATAAACCTGAGTCAAATAGGGTATTATAATACAGTGTTGAATTACAAACATAATAATGTATTGACTCTAAAATGTAGGTTCAAATATGTATATTTGAGACCAAGTATATATTTTTCTTCTGAAATTCCAAATGAAAGTTCCAAATCTGTGCCCACACACAAGTTATTTAGTTGATAATATAGTTAAATAATTATTTGTTATTACTGAACCATTTGGGCTGGAGTGATAGCACAGCGGTAGGGCGTTTGCCTTACAAGCGGCCAACATGGCCGACCCGAGTTCGATTCCTCCGCCCCTCTCGGAGAGCCCGGCAAGCTACCGAGAGTATATCGCCCACAGGGCAGAGCCTGGCAAGCTCCCTGTGCTGTATTCGATATGACAAACACAGTAACAACAAGTCTCATGATGGAGACGTTACTGGCCCCGCTCGAGCAAATCGATGAACAACGGGAGGACCGTGACCGTGACTGAACCATTTATAAAACCCAGAAAAATCCCTACTTTTAAGTTATTATCTTGAATGATAATACTGAAAGGAAAGGACAGCTAAAGAATGAGGAGGTAAAAGAGTCTTGGAAGAACTTTGAATAGAGCTTCTGGTTATTTCCCATGTGATTTGAGAGTTTGAGGATAACTGGACATTTTGCCTTATTTCAGTTTTTGCTTGTTTCAGTATAGTTTACTACTTTTGTCAGCCAAGATTAAAGAACATTTTTGGTACACATATAGAATGTAGCCCCCCTGTTCCAGTAACTCTAGGAAACACTCCAATATAGGATACTTAAGGGAATTGTATTATTTGCAGGACATAAAGAAACATAGTAGGAGATTAATGCCCAAAGACAATAATAGATATTGTTTTTTACCCTGAGGTAAAAGGAAAAAAGAAAAGGAGTGTGTAACTTAACAAGCATAAATTACTCAAAGTATTTATGAGCTAACTGTACTGTGAGTTGTGTAAGACAAAATCGTGCCCATAGGAGGGTACATTTGTATGAAATCCAAAATATATAAGGGTACAAACACATGCACATACTCCAAAGCTTCATCAGATAGAAATTAGAATAAACCATTAACAAGATGGAAAACCCATCTTTTTACATTCAGCTGTAGCTTCGAAAACTAATGATATTTATCTCCATATCACTTCATGAGCAATATTTCTGAATTTTTGTGGGCCTCCAGAGTTGACTTAAAAATGGAATGGATGGGTTCAGTATAATTGCAAGTAGCCAAGCTGTGTTCCAAAGGTCAATTTTTAATTATGGTGGTTGGAATTTTGAAAGCAAACACTTCCCCATAAAAATAATGTCTAGGTTATTTCTGTGTATGTCTGGAGTAGTCCCCCTGGAAAGACAATTTAATGCGAAGATACTCATAGTATAGAAAGAAGAGTACCAGAGGAACTATTTATTCCGTTTCTAGGGGGAGGAAGCAATGTTGCTAAGGGAAAAATATATTCACTATTGTGCTTCAACTTGAGATGCCAGAAACACATTTCTCACCTTTATAGCCCCAGCTGTGGCACGATGACTCTTAAGCTACTGCTGGTAGCCCTCAAACTTTGAAATCCCTAGGAAGTAGTCTGAAGTCACTATCACTGTCCTCCCGTTGTTCATCGATTTGCTCGAGCAGGCCTAGTAACATCTCCATTGTGACAATTGTTACTGTGTTTGGCATATCGAATATGTCACGGATAGCTTCCAGGCTTTGCCGTGCAGGTGAGATACTCTCGGTAGCTTGCCGGACTCTCTGAGAGGGGCGGAGGAATCGAACTCGGGTCAGCCTTGTTGGCCACATGCAAGGCAAATGCCCTACCCACTGTGCTATCGCTCCAGCCCAGACTGAAGCTCCATTCAAATTTTTCAAGTGCCTCTATGAGGCAGAGGCTTTATCATGGTAGAGAATGGACTCCAGGAATAATGATGATGAATGTTTAGGTGACAATATCGCAAGGGAACTGGAATATGGCATAGGGCTAAGAAACAGAGAAAGGACTCTGTTAAATTACCATGAAAAGAGTCCTTTCTTTCGTGATATTGATCGCATATAGTGGGGCTTCCCAAGCCTATTTGGCCTACTGCTCCCTTTCTCAGGAAAATACATTGTATCACTCAGTTACTTCGTACCTGAGGCTACTATTGTCTCCCCCTAGCCCCACTGTTACAGTACCTCTAGGAAACACTCCAATATAGGATACTTAAGAGAATTGTATTATTTGCAGGACATAAAGAAACAGTGTAGGAGATTAATGCCCACTGTAGCACTGCCCTCCCATTGTTCATCCATTTGCTTGAGCAGGAACCAGTAACGTCTCCATTGTGAGACTTGTTACTGTTTTTGGCATATGGAATACATCATGGGGACCTTGCCAGGCTCTGCCGTGTGAGCAGGAATATTCTTGGCAGCTTGCCGAGTTCTCTGAGAGGGATGGAGGAATCGAACCCGGGTCTGCCGCATGCAAGGCAAATGCCCTACCCGCTGTGCTATCTCTCAAAAATGAAAATGAAGAGAGCTGGTTCTTAGTAGAAAGCTTGCCACAGTGAGGGGAGAGGGGTTTGGACAGGGAAGGTACGACTATGACAGTGATAGGGAGAAATGGTCACTCTGGATAAGAACTGGGCATTAAAGTAGGTAAAGTGATATGCATGATACCCTTTCAGTAGCAGTACTGAAAACCACAGTACCTAGAAAATGAAAAAGTGCCTGTCATAGAAGCAAGCTGGGGGAAAGAAGGGAAACCGGGGATAACTCATGGAGGGAAGTGGACACAGGTGAAGGGATTGTTGTTTGAACACTGTATGCCTGAAACTCAATCAGGAATAACTCAGTGACTTTGTAATTTGCTGTGATTCAATCAATCAATCAATCAATCAATCAGTAAGACAGCAAGAGAAGAAAACAAAAGAGGAAAGAAAAAATGCTTGACTTCTGCTCTCCATCACAGTGGGCTAGCTTGAACTGAAGAAAAAGCTAACAGTCTTTGCTAGCAATAGAGTTTACTGTAGTGAAAAAGGGGAATCAAATCCCTACAATAATGGAGAGGAGAGGAGTTACAAAATCTGTTAGTGTAAACTTATTTTTGCAAGTATAAATTCAGTACTTAGAACCCAAGAACTGTGAACCTGCTGTATAGCCTGAGCATTTTTCTTTCTTTTTTTTTATAAACAAGCATTTCTTTTTATTTTTTATTTTTTATTAGTGAAACACCATGAGGTACAGCTGTAGACTCACAAACTTTCATGCTTGGGTTTCATTTATATGATGATCGAGTACCCATTTTTTCTTATACTATACGTTTGTTTCTTGTTAGTATAACCTATATTATGAGTTTAGTATGTTTCCCACTCGCATAATATTGAAAAGAAAAATGTTTAAATCTTATACAATTAGTTGATCTCATTTTCACATCATACATCAAAGGGTTGTGACTTAAAATATTCATAGAATGCACACAACTCAATCACAGAATACGAAACCACTTCATTTAAAAAATGGGCAAATGATATAACTTGACACTTCTCCAAAGAAGACACATGAAAATCTGCTTAACATCACTCATTTCATGGAAGGGCATGAACAAAGCAACTGTTTTCTAAGTAAAAAATGATATGTGTCTTTTGGGGGATACCAATCTTAAGATAGAAACCTACCAACTCTCAGTTCTTCCTTCACTAAGAATTATTCATGGAAAGCTTTCAGTGCTATGAAAGTAATGACTAAGCTACTTCTTGATTGAAAGTGAACCTTCCTCCTAGCAAGTAACCTATTCACAGGAACTGGATCTCGTCTAAGAGCCAGGCAGGGAACCAGAAGTGCCTGATAGGGCTTTTTGGGCCACTTCCTATAGCTAATTCTGTAGAAAAGACTCAGAAGTTGACCACTGGTCTCATGTTCAAAAGATTGCCAGGTTGAATCTGGACAAACAACTCAAAGAGCTGAGTGTAGCTTTTCATGTACGAGGACCCAGAATTTATGGTCCCCTAAAACCCCTTGGGAATGACCTCAAGCACGGAGCTTGGAATAGTCCATGAGCACCACCTGATGCCACCCTAAAAGAAAAAAGACAGGGCTAGGCAAGCCTGGAGAGTGAAACAAGGCTTGAGCGGGCATAAACTATAGCAGTAAGTAAGCTGGAGGGGATCCTCCTTGCACGATGGGGATGAACCCACAGAAGCTCTTCTTTCTGGAGCTGTGTCTGCACCACTCACAAAAAAAATCAAAACCCAAAATGTAGATATTCTATTTGCATTTTTGTGGGGATACATTTTTTATTTTTGATTCAAAGTTGTTTGGGTTTAAAAATGTAAAATGGTATCTTTGATTGCTTATCAATAATTTTAAATAGGGGTCAGAAAGATAGTACAGTGGGTAAGGCCCTTGACTTGCATATGGCCAATCCAGGTCCAATCCCTGACATCCCATATGAACCCTGAGTACTGTAAGGAGTGATCCTTGACCACAGTACTAGGAGGAACTGCTGAGCATCACCAGGTGTGCCTCCCCCCAAATAATAATTTTAAATAATTTAGAAAGTGAATATGAGAAGAGTTTAGTAACTGTAAACTATAACTACACATTTAGTACGTATAAGCATAAAAAATCCCAAAGATAAAAGTGTACTTCTGTAGTTATAAAATCATCCACATATGTGAACAGTGGGTCAGAAGAGTGAGATTTATGTCCTGCATGAGCCTGGATTGCCAGTTTGGGGTTAAGAAATGGCTCTCTATTTCAATATTCAGAGTGACTGAAGAATTAAGCCTAGTGTTAACAAATTAGTGATGCCTGCAGTATCAACTCTCGCTCTAATGTCTTTGAAACTTACTGTTCGCAACTGAAGAAGATATCTGTCCAAAGGGCATGAGGAGTGCTACTGTGAAACTCGAAATTCATTTGTTCACAGAAAATATATTTTAAATACTCAAGCTATATATTTCAGAGATCATAATCATTATCAAAATGAAGTGGTCTATGATGCCTAAAATTAAGCAACCAATCAAGTAACATAAGCAGTCACCAAAGATCAAATGTGCAATTCCATTTATAAGAGGAACTGAGTGTAATAAAATCTGGAGACAGAAAGTAAAATGGTGAATACCAAGGGCTGTATCGAGAGGGAAATGGGAAACTTCCAAGTGTGTGAGTTTCAGCTGAAGGTTATGAGAAATTCTGGAAATGGATGGTGGTAATGACACAACAGGATACCAAAAGCTACAATTCTGTAGCTAGCATATAGTGAAAATAGTTCCAAGGGCTGTATCGAGAGGGAAATGGGAAACTTCCAAGTGTGTGAGTTTCAGCTGAAGGTTATGAGAAATTCTGGAAATGGATGGTGGTAATGACACAACAGGATACCAAAAGCTACAATTCTGTAGCTAGCATATAGTGAAAATAGTTAATTTTAAGAAAATAGTTAATAATAATATAGTTAATAGTTAATAATTAAGATAATTTTAATTATCCACACCAAAAGAAAATAATATGGAAAAACATTGTGAGTTTCTAGCCACCCTGGTTGTGTTCAGGGCTTACAATACCACCTCTGCACCCATTTTCAACATAAAACAGAACAGTCTATTTTAAAAGGGCTTATTTAATATTTTAAGTCAGTTACCCAAAATAGCTTATCTGTCACAGATGCCTAAACATAGCAAGTGTTCAGGTTTGCTCTCGAGTATGTCTGGAATTACCAGGATTCAATCCAGAAAGAGTAAACCAGAATGAGCAAACGGCAATATGTATAAATACCAGTACTATCACCACCATCAAATCCCTAGAGTTCCCTAAAATTAAGTCTTCTATTAGAATTAGGAGGGGAACCTAAAACTACTGAAATTAAAGGACTACTCATAGGACTTTCAGCAAAGAATCTGACCAACTGAAGAAGTGTTTGAAGGAAAAAAAATACAACACACAGAACTTTAAAAGTATGTGTATACAGTAAAAGAGTCATCACAAACACTGTGAAACTGAATAGAAATTACCACATCTTCTTGGAAGTTCTTCCTTCTTGCAACTCCATCCATAAAGGACAGCTTATTTGTACATCCTCTCTATCAGGTTCATACTTAATCATATAATTTGCACCATTTCAGTGTAATATGTATCTATGAGCTTCTCAATGGTGAGAGAGATGTTCATTTTTATATTTCCACCACCGACCATTGTAGATGACACACAGTGACTATATGGCTATTTAATGATTCATTCTATGATGCATTCATCTAATTCATGTGACCTTAGAATAACTCAGGCTTTGCAAAAAGGCAGTGAAATCGATAATGAAGTTCTACATCAGTATTAACTAATATAGATTATCCTAGGTTTATTTGGTCAGAGAATCACATAAAGAGAGAATTATATTTATCCTCTTTTGGGGAGGGACCTCCCGAGCAGTACTCAGGAGGCCCAACGGGCACCACTGGTAGTTATCAATCAACAAAGGCAGTGGTTTCCTGCAAGGGTCTGAGGATGTGAAAACACTTGGGCACTGCAGAGTTGATGACACCCATGCCACCTCAGTGGTGCTAGGGGTCTCTAGAACCATTCCTGGTGATGCTTGTGGGCCTTCAAGGCTGTATCTAGAGATGCTCCACTGCCAGGGATTGGATCCAGGTTGGGCACCTGCCTGGCACTGTACTATTGTACTATCTTCCAGTGCAGAGAGCATTAATTTTTATGCGGGTCAATAATAGCTTCATGCATTATAAATAAATCACTTTTGACCTACTGAGAAATAAAAAAAATCAAAAAGCCCTGGGAACACTGGTGAGGTATGTTGATACTGGTGATAGGATACTGCTACTGGAACACTGATGTCTAAAACTCAACTATGAATAACTTTGAAAGTTGTGGTGCTTGAATAAAATAAAATAAAATCTTTTTAAAAGGCACCAATGAACAATAAACCTAAAGGCACCAATGAACAATAAACCTCCCCCAATCCTTATAATCCCCCCCAAAAATAAAGGATCTAATAAATACCACCTTTAAAAAAGTTCAAAGGCAATAAAATACTTGAAAACAGTTTAAACTATAACCTAAGATCGATCTCCTAATCACTTATTCTTAACATTTCAAGAGAAATGAGTTCTGATTTCCAACTCAAGAATCCAAGAACACTTGAGTTTTACTCAATAGTTATGCAGAAATTTGTAAGTCTACAACTGAACCTCATGGTGTTTCACTAATAAAAATTTTAAAAAAAAAGAGTTACGCAGAAAGACCCTCTGGCTGCCACAACTCTATGTATCCTCTAATTCTACATCCACAGAAACTAAAAATCAAACTTTGCAGGGTGAAGGGTGGGATAACAAATTATTCCATTTAATTTCATTTCAAAAAATATATAACAAGTGCTCAGTGACGTAAAACCCTAGAACAGCTGAACTACACTTGGCCACAATGAGCTCATGACCTGGAGGGAAAGGGCATAAACAAACACTGTAACTCAATGGAATAAGTGACATACTTACAAAAGCCATCAATTCTGAGATTGAGACAGACTGGACCATGGAGAATAATGTGTGAAAGCTCATGAGGATAGCTCTTTCCTGACAAAGGATACGTCTCAAAGACCAGCTGCATTTCTGTTCCTCCATCAACCCAAAAGTTCAGGTGTGGAAAAAATGGTGCAACTGAGTACTGGGATGCATTCAGGATACAGCTGCTAAATCTAAAAACAGTCAATTTGGCACCATAAATGGAACTGGATTCTGCCTGGAGGCCAAAGACTGCCAAGTCCTAATTTAATACAGTACCTTCAAAAAAATAGAATTTTTGAAAAGAGAAAACATAATGAAAATACCTTATGACTTAAACAATACAGCATACACATTACCTTTAAATATGATCCATAGTATTTTGTTACATATGAGCTGTCACACTGACTCAGAACAGTTATTTCTTGTTGAATGTCTTCAATTTCATCTTCTGCTTCCTCGAGATCTATGATTTTAATAGCAACCACTTGCTGGGTACGGTTATCAATTCCCTTGAATACTTCTCCAAAAGATCCTTTTCCAATGCGTTCTAATTTTGTGAACAGTTCTTCTGGGTCAGCAATATTATTCTAAGGTGGTGGGGAGAGAGAAAATAAAGAACACAAATGTTTTGCATCAATTTTTTAAATGAAGGAAAATAAACCACAAAAGACAATCCACTTTTTAAGAATATAGAAACTCCCTAGATTCTCCACATGTGCTTTGTTTGAGCAACTGTAATCCCAAATAACCAGCCAGTTCATACTCTACCGTTGTCACCCAAAGTAACTAATACCAGACAGACAATGTCTCTGACTCTGTCAAAGGGCTGGATGCTTTTTAGAATAGAGCAACTGTTTAATCATGGGAGCCCAACTTGAAGAAAGAAAAAAGAAAAAATAACATTGATAACTTTCAGTTTGCACTTATCACCTTCTGTCGTGGGATTGAAATGTCTCCTGAAAAATCCCAACTTTGTAATGGTAGAGAATGATGAAAACAAGTTTTTCATTAGCATAACCTCACCTCCCTAGCTACCTGAGGACTAGTGATCCCTGCCATCTTGACCAGTTTCTGAATCTTGGCATATAACACCAAAGGTCTAGCATTCCTTCATCATTTTTCAGATTCTTGGACAAAAGTAAGCATCTCAAGTTTTTATTGAAACAGATTTACTTTTATTATTGTTGTTTATTATTATTACTATTTTGGTTTTGAAATCACACACAGTGGTTTTCAGGGTATCTTTGTGGTGCGAGGAATTCAAACTGGGGTTGGCCGCTTGCTAGACCAGTGTCTTACCTCCCATAGGCCATCCTTTCTGCTAGAGGAAAGCCAAGGAAATATACAGAAAACATACAAAGTAATTCAATGGGGGAAAAACCCACTAAACATACATAAAGAAGTTGGCTTGCTCTACTTTTCACATTTCTCTCCTTCATAGTTTAAGAAAATCAACTCAAACCTGTTTCCTCTTTACACAAATCAAATAGTTTATTTAAAAAAATTAAAATTTCCAGGTCTTTTCTCTCTCTGCTATAAAATTACAATTTACTACTGCATCTGTATTTATGCTGTTGTCTCAGAACTGTGGCCCAGGAAGGAGTTCAGAGTTCTGTAGTAGCAGATGGGAAGAAAAGCTAAACCTAATTTCATACAGAGTTACAATGAATGGTTGTTGGTTTGTACATGCCCACAAAAATGAGGCTGTAAAAATCAAAACGTCATAAATCCACCCCAGTACATTCCTGTCATTCCTTAACCTTCTTTACCTGTTCTTTGTCTGAGTTTCAACTGTTCAGCTCCAAGAATATTATTCAAATTTGAGCCTCAGACAGACATTACATTACAACTAAAACAATGACAGTAACAATCAGGTAATCCAAAAGCGATGTAATCTAAGATGACCATCTTGTCTCCCATGGAAAGTTAGGGTCATATAGAAAGTTTCTTGCATATTTAAATCATAGCGTCAGAGGGTTGGAAGAAGTCTCATAGGTATTCTAAGTTCCAGCTGTATATTAGGATCACCTGTACACCATCAAAAGTAGAAGGCACTTCAACTCACAACCGTCTCCTCACCCAATTCAGAATCTCTAAGATTAGGTCTTAACAAGTAGTAATTTTTTTAAAGTACTCACTCCAAACTATGCTATATGTAGTCAATTTGGCACCCATCTTGAGATTAACATTTGGGAACCACTGAGCAGGGCGAGGTGAAGTTTACTTTTTGTTTAGTTTTTGTGCCAAACATGGCAATGATCAGGGCTACTTCTGGCTCTGCATTCAGGAGTCACTCACAGTGGTCTCAGGGGACCATATAAGATGCCGGAGATCAAACCTGACTTGGCCACGTGCAAGATAAGTGCCCTACTGTAAGTGGAGACTTCTGACCAAATAAAACCAAGAGAGCATTGATATTTGCCTATAAATTCCTATATTTAAAAAATTAGCTCTGTAATGCGCTGTTCTAAGGATACATCTCTAAAATTAGTGGTTACTCCCTAATAAGTCTCAGAATGTAATATTTATCAAAGAGCACATACCATATCCTACTCTGTTTATTCTTAAACTTTTCAAAGTCAATATACCTAGGTAATAATAGGATATATAATAGATTATGCTTTAACTGCTGACAATTGAGTCATCAATCAACATGCACAAAGACTGAAAATTTAGCTCAAGTTAGCTAGTAGAAAATAGGAACAATTTGTGGGGTAGGAGTATAAGGAATGGAGAGGAAAAAGTTTCCTTGACTTCTTGATTGGGTCTAAAATTAAACTGACATGATAGGGGCCAACAAGATAGTACAGCAGGTAGGGCACTTGCTTTACACACAGCAGACCTGGGTTTGATTCTCAATACCGTCAGGCATAGTCACTAAGTGCAGAGCTAGGAGTAAGCCCAGAGTATTGCAGGATGTGGCCCGAAATGAAAAAACAAAACAGACATGACAAATTAACAAGAAAGAAGCACATACACTTATTCAAGTTAAACTTTATGTGACATTCGCATCTCCATTAGGAAATGAAAATTTGACAAGAAATGGTTCGACCTGTGTTTTTATGATTGGTTTGCCAAAGTGTGGAAAACCAAGGCAAGATGCAAGTTAATGTGTCATAAATTAGCAAAAATAGCAAAGCATGTTTGTTGCAGATTCTTTTTGGCATCCTTTTAACTTTGGAGCACCTCTCATATTAAGGTCCTACTGCATGGGAGATGAGAAGTGTAGTGAGGTGGGAGTGTAGGGTGGGCGATCAGAGTGACTTTCCCATTTCTGCCACTTTTGTAAACTTCTCTCACTTAAAATATTAAATATGACAAGGTCTCATATTTGGGTGTAGCATGTTCAGGACCCCACTGAGGTCATTAGGAGTAAGTGACCAGAAAAAACATGAATAAGGTGGACAGAATGAAAAATTAACTTTGAGGTTCTTAATGAATGGAGACTTGGAGAGCTCAGCTGGAAAGGAACCAAAGACAGACTCTCTTTTCAGGCCTAGGAATATGGTTCAATGGTAGAATGCCTGCCTTGCATGTGTGAGGCCTTAAGTTTAACCTCAGCACCACCCCACATTCCTGTCACGTTGAATTCCTGGTTCTGCCAGTGTGATCCTCAGTGGCACAAACAAGTGTATGTGACCTGCTGTATACTCAGTAGCAGCAAAAACAACAACAGCAAAAGGGAAGTGGGAAAAAGAAGTATTTTCTTTGTGTCGGAGGTAGCTAAATAAGAACTCTTGTCTGGAGCTGAGCGTGAAAAAACATTAATAGATTTAGGGAAGAGAAAGAGTATTTCTCAAAAGACTCAACCAAGAAGGTTGAGCTTGGGTACTCTGAAAGAATCTTTACAAACCAAGAATCAAATCAAGCAAGGCTGACCTCAAACTAAATATTGTACTTGTATCCCTAATGTTAACAAAATTCATATATGCTCTTGTGCTCTCAAACAGTTTCACTTTACACTGACAGATCTGTGTCTAGGCCTGTCGGTGATGCACTGATGTAGACAGTGTGCAGGAAATAATGAGCCAAGACTATGACAATGATTTTAAGGCTTAGAAATGAAGATCTGTGTTACTGCCTTCAAATTTCAAGTAGTCACACCAGGAGTGACCCTCAGTAAGTTCTGGGTCATCTGAAAAATCACAAAGAATAAAATCTTTTGCCTACCAAAGTCCTAAGTACTAGTTAGTAAACTATTTAAATTGTTCACATTACTTCTCTCAGGCTAGAGAGGAAATGCTATTCTGGGTTGCTTCCACTATTACTGTACATTAAATAAGCAGAATGGTTCCAGCAACTACAGTTTCATGAGCCTTAAATGAGCTTGACTATGATTGTTAAAGCTTTTTTCAATTGCCCTATCAACCATATCAGAAGGTTTGCTAAGTACTTCCTTATGAAGAGACTTCCAGAATCAGGCCAAGGTTGTGGTTCATAGGTAAAGTGTCTACTTGCCATGCATGTGTTAGGCTCTGGGTTCAATTTTTGACACAGGAGGAAATAAAACTTATGAAAGAAAAAATGATTTAAATTCAACAGTCATAAACCTCTTCGTGCTGCCTGAGTCTAAGACCATGGGCCACTATCTTTTCAATGCTATATATTATACAAGTACAACTGACTTTTCCCTGAGTAAAAAAATTAATAGTTACAGGCTTTCAGAGCAAGAAGGAAATGAATAGTTTTTTTAGCCCAGCACTTTATCACCATCATCACCCACAAGCACTTATTGTATGCTTTCTTATCCTAGGCCTTGGCTCACACCACCAAATGAAACTTAAATTTAAGGCATTATGTCAAAATTATGGTGGAGGCGAGGAGAGGTTAAGGAGGCTAACAAGGGTCGATTGTTTGTACAGTGAGCAGGGTGTTTGTCTTGCACATAGTCGGCCTGGGTTCACTCTCCAGTACCCTATATGGTCCCCTGAACACTACCAGGAGTGATCCGTGAGTGAAGAACCAAGCACAAACATTAAGCACAGCTAAATTAATGCATGTGGCCCTAACCCTCCTCCCACCAAAAAGACAAGGCAAACAAAACCCCTCAAATTAAAAGAATTCTAGCATCATCGAGGTTAATAGGAACTAAGCAAGCATCTGATCCCAAACCAACTTTTTTAGGGGGAAAAACTTATAGTCAACAGTGGTTATGTATTTTTCAAATGTGTGGGGTAGTTAATTAGTGCAAAGCTCAAATTTGAACCCATATATTCTGGGTCTTAAGTCCAAGGTTCTTTCATTAGAGCTTGAATTAAATTGTAATTTAAACTATGCTCTTTTGCTGTAAAACCAAAATTAGTTCCTATTATGAACAGGTCACGCAGTTGGCCTATGTATACTTATTAATGTCTCTACTATTTATAGACATTGAAAACACATAAAGTTAAAAGAATCTGAAAATTTTAAAAATAGGTCTTTCCTATTCTTTGAATGATATAATTTCTTACCAGCTTTGAACCACAATAAAATTAACTGATCCTTGTGTATGTGTACAACAACCAAATGTTTCATATTATAATTTACAGAGAAGTGATATTTACATTCTGGCAAAGTTACTATACTCAGCTCATTTTTCCCATGTCAA